CCGGGCCGGCTCCGCCCCGGCCGCGCGGCTCCGGCGCTGGCGGAAGATGGCGGCGGCGGGCGGGGGCGGCGCCGCGGTGTCGGTGCTGGCGCCCAGCGGGCGGCGGGTCACGGTGCGGGTGGGGCCCGGCACGGTCCTGCTCCAGGTGGGTCCGCAGCGGGGAGGGCGGGGCGGCGGGGCCGCGGGCCGGCCGTGACCCTCTGTTCTCTCCGCAGGTCCTCGAGGAGGTCTGCAGGAAGCAGGGCGGCAGTCCCGGCGAGTACGGCCTCAAGTGAGTCACGTCGCGGAGCCGGGCCCGGCTGCCCGCGGCCCCGGGAGAGGCCCCGCCCGCCGGGCCGGGCCTGGCGCTGCCGGAACCCGCGGCCCGCCCGGGGGTGTCCCGGGCCCGGCGGAGCCGAGCGGGCGGTGGGAGCTGGGGGCCGGGCCGCACACCGAGGGTCAGGTCAGGGCCTCCCGATGTCCCCGTGCCACGTTCCGCTGACAGGCGAGGCCCCGTGTCACGGACACGGCCCCACGCACGAACCTCACCCAGGTTGCACAGTGGCAGCGCTCGTCTCCCCTCTTACCTGGGGGTTTGACCCTCTGCCTTTATGGTGTCGTAATCGAGAGGCCATTTCTCTGAGTGGCACTAAAACAAGAGTATCTTGGTATTTAACCGGGCTTGGTTATGTAGTCAGTTGTTATTTCTCTCTTTAAAGCCTAAGAAGAAACATACATTTGGGTATCTTCCCTGTGACCTCTACAAACTGCAGCTGTTTTGGTGAACAGAATAGCTTTTGTTGATGATTGTTTTCTGAATTACCAGTTGTCCATTGTTGAATCATGTTCCACGGCTTCTAGTCAGCCTCTGGGGAATTCTCTTGCTCAATACCTGGACTTTGTGTTGTTCAAAGACTATGTTCTCCTTCAGGTTTCAGAGGAGTGTTTTGGACCTGTCATTGCAATGGAGATTTGCCAGGCTGCCCAACAATGCCAAGCTGGAGATGGTGCCAGTCACTAACAGAGCAGAAGCTGGAACCACGGTATGTTTGTTTACACAATGTGACCGGATTTGTTGGGTTACCGGTTCTGCTGATATGATCCCATCCTGTCTAATGAGCAAGAGCACAGCTCAGTGTGGCCAATGCCTGTGCAGGAGACCAGCTGAAGATGGGTTGAAGTGCAGTGGAAGGTGGTGATTTAGTAGTTGAAAGTCTTTGCTTATGTTCCGCATGAGCATGTGGTGCCAACTGTGTGTTGGAGGAGAATGGGTTCATTTGGGGAGCTGAAAAACTAGTAATCGTGGATGCCTAGGAACTTAAGCATCACTGATGACTAACTCAGTTCCCTTTCCTAATTTCAGTTTCAGTTGCTGTTGTCTGCCTCTGGATTTTGACTAAATCTCAAATTCTTACAGAATTCTCTTTTGCTGCTTTCCCAGCATTGCTGGTCATGGTGTGTTCACACAGCTTTAGAGTCTTTTGTTACATGTGCTGTCTTCAGCAGTGGCCAAATGTCCCTATTTAGTATGATTTGAAAAGGGCTTAGGGATGCTGTGTTCTCTAGGAATTATTGCCACATTTAGGAGTGTAAAAATCTATCCCTGTCACTGTAATGGCTGGAGGCATAACTGTTAAAGTGACACATAGGTGTTAATGTGTGTGAACTTTTTATGTCATAAAAGTGATGTATGGTCTTATTTAAGTAGCCTAGGAATGAAAATTTGTCTATTGCTGACAGTCATCACTCTTCTTGCTGACTTCCTCAGGAGGAGTTTCTCAATTTTTATGAAAGTTTCAGGTCTGTTGGTGCTGATCTCTTAATGTCTGTCAGCCAAGCTGACAAGTTAGTTGTGTTCGTTGTAGGCAGTTGCTGTCACAGAGAGAAACTGATATGTTGAAATGTGAACTTTGTGTTATGAGGCAGCTTTGGAATCTCTGCTCTAGTTCACTGTGGGTGTGCAATGTAGTTTTAGGGTCACTGATGTTGATGTTTTTCTCTGTAAAACCTCCATGTTCTTTGTTTTGGCACTAATGCCTTCTTTCTGACTTTGTGGTAGAAAGAAGTTTGTGCTTCAAATGACGTCTTTAGTTAAAAAAATACCACAAACTGGGAGCATCTGCTTAAAATTTTCAGTGAAAGACTGTGATGGAATGGAGTTTGTCGTCCAGAGGAAAGTGTTTCTGTGGAAATGGCGCAGTGATGACTTTATCTGACATTTGTGTCCAGTTTGGGAGGTTGAGAGGTACTGAAGGAAAACAGTGATTTTATTTTTTTCCCCCTGAAGTTATATTATGAGAAAGGGTAAGAAGGGCTGTGTACTGTAGGAGAGAGGTTATAGCATGGAATCACTACTTTAGATCCTGAAAGAGAAGAGCTAATAGAAGTGTAAGTTGTTACTATTTAGTTGTAGTTCAGCAGAAGAATCTACAGAAGTGAGTCTTCTCTCAGAGTGCTCATTGCTTTGTCCTGGGGGTGAGAGGATGCAGCAAATGTGTGTGTGAAGGGTGGAGCCTGAACAGAGTCACTGTCCCACAAACTTGAGCAGAGATTCCACTTGGGAGAATTTCACAGTATGAGAAAAGACTTGGTACAGAACAATTGACTGAAAGAATTCCCTGTCACAAGGAGCACGTGCCAAAGACTAAGGAGTTTAAAACAGCCAGGTGGCTGTGACTGGGCTGTGGTGTCAGTTGAGATGCAGAGTTGGTCATTCTGGCTGGGTGCAGTAATGTTGGGATGAATCTGATTCTGTGTCTTCTATTATTCTATCTTCTATTAAGACAATGTGTGTGGAAGTAGGTGTGCTTCCCTCTGGTGACAGCAGTTACCCTGGAAACAGGGTACACGTTTCGATAAATTATGAGTTTGTTCAGCAAATTTGATATTTTAAAAATAGAAAGCTTTTGGATTTGCCTTTGCGTGTGGAAAACATTGTTTCCCGTAAGACAGTTCTTTTGCGAAAAATGGAACAATTTCCACTTGTGATGGCAGGCAACCATGAGTTCAGCTCTTGTGTTAAAGTTGTCAGCCTTTTGTTTAAATGTTTGTAAACTTAGATGATAATGGTCACTGGTCTCTATTATTTTAAGTAGCGCTTGGGGTCTTTAAAGAGACTTTTCTAATTGACTGAATAGGACTTTCGTGACATGTTTAGCTTTGAACTGTCGCTCAACAACTGATGCAACTGGTAGTCTGAGTTTCTGGGCTGCATTCTTACAGAATGGTGATGTCAGCTGTCATCACTCTGCTGTTGCTGAGAATAATCTAAGGCTTGTCTCCCACGTAGGAGGAACCAGGAGGTTGTGTTAGTGGTGGGATGAAACGACATTGTTCTGTTGGCTCGTTGTTAATGATGCCACTGTTTCCTTTATGCAGAAAAATTCCTGTCTCCAGCAGATCAACATTTGCAGTCCTGTGAGGATTGGTGGGAGCTGAGACAGATGACAAACATATTCCTCTGTGGAAATCACAGTCGATTGCTGAGTGTGTGGTGTCTGTTTTCCCATCTCCCTCTCTTTCTCTCCCCCTGTGCCCTCCTGCTTGCACACACATCTTGCACTCACAGTGAGGCTGACTGAGTGTGTTGGTAGGGACATGTGAAAACACAGAATGAAAGAAAGTGTCTTTGGCTGTCCTGGGCTAATGTCTTTCTCAGGCTTTGGAATAAGGCCAGCTTCTGTGGACTTCAGAAAACTGTAGTTGACTGGAGAAACCAGGTTCCATCTAGTGGCTATGGGTTTTTTTAGGATTTTTCTTTAGGCAAGTGAGCTAATTGGGAAAACCTAAGAGTTAGACGTTCTGGAGAAGGCTGAATATTCTCTAAAAGGTAAAAAACAAAAACAAAAACAAAAAACCACCTGAAGTGCACTGCCATTCTCCATCTCTTGGTCACCTGCTAGACTTTTCCCTTGAGACAGTCAGAAGTTTGAAGTTCTTCGGGACTGAGCCCAGCATGTGTTCATTTTAGCAATACTTTGGATTTTTTTTTTTGAGAGAAGTGGGGAAGCAGTTCTCTGAAGTGCACGTAGCACCAGCTAATGAACACGGATGTTCACATTCCAGGTTGGAGAAGGCCTGTTAAAATAGGCAGCTAGCTGGCCCTGGCCTTTTTCTGCAGGTGTTCAAGAACTTGATAACTGAACATCCAGAATTATTTTTGAGATTTTTTTGCTACTTCACTCTCGTATTGCATGTCAAATTTGGTGGTTAGAAAGCATTAGTGAGTTGCAAGTGTTGTTTTGTTGCACTGGTAACGGTTGTTTGGGTCTTCAGTAATGCAGGGATTGATGGGGACTGTTCATGCTTTCTCTGTGTGGATGTGCAAGTACTCTGCTTGTTTTGCCCCAGGGAAGTTGTTCTGCAAACTGATGCCAAAGTGGACAGAGCTCTGTGTTGGTGTTTTAAGTTGTGCAGCTGCATCAGTCCTTTCTGCATTACTGGTATTTGTTTTATATAGGTGTGAAGGTCCTTTCTGTAAAGTTTCATCTGGTATAAAACAGAACATCTTAGTTGCTCATGATGACACATTATTTGGGATGTTTGCACTGGCTTTTCTCTGAACATGTTCCAGTTCAAGATATGACAGGGAAGAGGGGCCCCTGAAGGCTGGTTAGTTTTCCAGGATGGCCTCCCTCATGCTCAGGAGAAGTCCATCCCAACCAACTAGAATTCAGGCCAGAATGCCTGCACATATGGACAAGGAGCACTGAAATACTTTAAAAAAGTTTTCATTCAATTTTCAGATGAATTCACTGTGTTTTTCCAGCAGGTTCGGATAGCATTACAGCTAGATGATGGCTCCCGTTTGCAAGACACCTTCCTCTGCCAACAGACTCTGTGGGAACTTCTCAATCATTTTGCAAAAATCAGGTGAGCAAAGCAGTGAGAAAATTCTTGTTTGGATGGATCTCTACATGGCAGTAGTTACTTGTTGTTATGGTGATCCAGCTGAATCCTTCAGATGTGTAGGGTTTGCGTCATTTGACTGTGGTTCCTCCTTTATTACAGATATGTTTGCCTTGTCCTTGCTCTTTCAGATTTGACACTCCATAGTTTTATTATTATTTTTTAATCCTGCAGTAGCACTCCTGATTCCGGGCATAAACTTGTAACAAACTGCTAAAGCTGTGAAGCAACTATACTAAACTGGGATATGTTGCCCCAGCTGCCTTTTACACAAACATGTTTGAAGTCAAGTTGCTGCCAGAGGTGAGGTGCCAGCCTGGATGATCTTGATCCCCAGTATTTCTGTGCTGCGGTTCCCTGTAGTGCAGCTGGTTCTTCAATGAGTTGCTGTTGCTCTTGAGGCTTGCTGTTGTGCAAGTTCTTCAGGGAAATCTGGAGCTCTCAGCAGGCTAATGTGGAATCTTCAAAAGAGTGATTAGATCCTGCTTAAATGGAAGAATTTATGGTTCTACATTTATTGAGTAGGTACATGGGTTAGAAATCTTATTATTTGAGTCCAGTCTACATTCAGTGTTATCTCTTGAGTTTTGAATTAAAAACACTGTATTGTTTTGAAATGTCAAGCTGATAAACTTTTCTCAAAGAAAGACAGTTCTTTTCTCACGGCTTGGAAGATGAAACCTTGAAGCTGTGACAGCCATTCTATTTTTAATTGTTAGGGACTAGGTCTGCACTGTGACTTAGGATAGAAGTCAAAAGGAACCGTTTTCATGTAAATGCTAGAGAGAAAAGAATTCTTTTAATTGAGGAAAGAGGTAGGCTAGAAAGCACAGGTATGATTTTCCTAAGTGTTTTAAGTCCCCTCTTGTCCCTTCCTACATCCTTTGTGCCCTCTGGGAGGAGAGGAGTGCCTGTTGCAGTTTGGGGACTGCTGGACTGGTGGGGGTGTTAATAATTGACAGTGACAAATAGCCCTTGTGTGGCTTTCTCACACATTAGTTGACTATTTATTTGGTTTA